TTCATTTTAGATGTGTGGTTTCCTTTCTTGTTCACATATATAAATTTTATTTTTAGCTTTACTTTAATGTTCTTGTTTTGTGATTTGTACATTTGTGGGTTAAAATAAAGTTGAACTGAAGGTCGTCTCTTTTCTTTAAACATGTTTGAGGGAAATATTTCTGAGATCCAATAGTTTTGTGTCTTTTTATGATTTTCAGCTGAGTTAACAGTCATTAAAGTGAAAAAAGGATTTCATGATGAAGCTGGCACCGTTTATTTTATTTTTTTAATCTTCAACGCTAAAATATATATATAATTTTTTTATGACCAGTTCTCACACGATCCTCTCCTCCGGAGCCAGGACGGGCAGGCTCATCTTCCCAGTTCCGATCTCAGCTGGTGACTCGCAGAGGCCGTTCCAAGACCCCAGCTGTGCATAATCATGAAGGCTCGACCCGCGCAGACAGGCGGACAGAGACGGGTCTGCGAAGAACGGTGGAAGCTATTTTAAAAAACATTTTACGTTTAACAAAAAAAAAATATATATATAAATCGCTTCAGCAACTTTTTTTAAAACATTTTTTGTATAAAAACAAAATATTATTTTATTTAAAATTCGCTTCCACCGTCCGTCCCAGACTGTCCACTCCGCCTGACTGCCGGGTGGGATCGGGATTCAGCCTTCATGATTACGCGTGGCCAGGGTCTGGCAACGGCCGTCTGCGAGTCCCCATCTCCAGCATCGCAGTGACCAGCGGAGCTCTGAGCACACAAGGCTGGTATCCGGAACCCGAGCCTCCGAGTTGGCACATCGAAGGATCTGCCGCGGTGACCAGCGGAACTCTGAGCCGGGGAAATGACGCCCTGCACGGCCTGGCGCTCCGAGGCTCCGGAAGGAAGGATCAGATTACACCAGCAGAGCTCCATCCAGCTTGCTCTGAATTATGTTGTCGGCCACCAAGCACAAAAAATGCCAGCACATCAACATAGACCAAGATGTTGTCAGTATTGTTTTTAAAATCTTTAAAATAAGTCCAGCCGCTGCTCCAGTCCGAGAAATTGCAAATGGCGTATCATTGTTTTGAAAAGTTTCTGAAGGATCCAGTGACTCCGCCCCCGACCAATCAGTGACTGACAGTGTTCTGACGTCACGTTTTAGTACCTCTTTGTTCGGGTTAGAACCACAGAGCCAAGGGTACTGAAAATAGTAACAGGTGCTAAGTACCGGTACTAATGGAAAAGCCTCAGAACCGGGCCAAGTAAGGTCCAGTCAGCCCATACCGGTACTAATGGAAAAGGGGCATAAGTATGCCCACTCCTGCTCAGCGCCTCTCACCAGGGGCAACTCCAGATTGGAAGAGTATCCAGCCCCTCTCAAGGAAACTGGTTCCAGAGCCCGAGCCATGCGTAGAGGTGAGTCCGACTATTTCTAGCCGGAACCTCTCAGCCTCACACACCAGCTCAGGCTCCTTTCCCACCAGTGAGGTGACATTCCACATCCCAATAGCCAGCTTCTGTAGCCGAGGATCAGACCGCCAGGGTCCCCGCCCTCGGCCACCACCCATCCCACATTGCACCCAACCCCTTTGGCCCCTCCCACAGGTGGTGAGCCCATGGGAAGGGGGACCCATGTCTCCTCTTCGGGCTGTGCCCGGGCGAGATCCATGGGTAAAATCCCGGCCACCAGGCGCTCGCCCGTGTGCCCCACCTCCAGGCCTGGCTCCAGAGTGGGGCCCCGGTGACCCACGTCCGGGCAAGGGAACACTAGGTCCGTTTATTTTTCTTATCATCGGGGTTTTTGGGCTGCACTTTGTCTGGTCCCTCACCTAGGACCTGTCTGCCATGGGTGACCCTACTAGGGGCGTAAAGCCCCTGACAGCATAGCTCCTAGGATCATTGGGACACTCAAACCCCTCCACCACGGTAATGTGGCAGCCCAGGGAGGGGTATATACATATATATATATATTTATTTATTTATTATTATTATTATTGTCCAAATTTTGGACAATTTTGGTGGGCCAATTAAGAAGCCCAATGAGCCGTATACGGCCCGCGGGCCGGGGTTTGCCCATGCCTGCTCTAGGACCTTCATGATGTGGGATGTCAGGGCAACAGGTCTATAGTCATTGAGGACTGATGGGTGAGTTTTCTTTGGCACTGGAACAAGACAGGATGTTTTCCACAACACTGGAACCTTCTCCTGGGTCAGGCTAAGGTTGAAGAGGTGCTTCAGAACCCCACAGAGCTGCTCTGCACAGACCTCCAGGACTCTGGGACTGACACCATCTGGACCTGCAGCCTTATTCTGGTTCAGTCTTTCCAGCTGCTTCCTCACCTGACTTCGAGAGACACAGAGGGGGGAGGCAAAGGAGGTATCAGCATCTTCTGATTTGGTTGAAGACCAATATGTAGAAGAAGGGTCCATGAATGAGGTGGTAGATACAGTATTTGAGGTGTGACAGGACAGCCTTGGGTCAATGGAGGGTGGTATGTATGTTTGGCTGTGGGCAAGAGAGGAGGATGCTGAGCTTGTTCCTGAACTGAATTGAATGTAACTGGGTTTTTTTTTTTTTGTGTGTGTGTGTATGTGTGTGTGTGTGTGTGTGTGTGTGTGTGTGTGTGTGTGTGTGTGTGTGTGTGTGTGTGTGTGTGTGTTCGTGCGTGCGTGTGTGAAATAACAAAATGCATTATGTGATTTTATCTAGGCAGCTAAAAAATTGTAATTGCATTTTTATTTAATAAAATTGAATAAATCTTGATAAATTTAAAGTTTTTGTTTTGATACAGAAACCATGGTATTTTTGCTGAAGTTGTCATATTGCCAGAATTCCATCATGTCCCTTGCTTAAACATGACAAAATATATGAGAGTTCAATGGAATAAATACTTTTTCAAGGCACTGTATGAAAATGAACAAACTTTATAAATGCGCTCTGTCTTTATCACAATAATTCAGTTTATCTGATGAGTTGTCATAACACTCTGGAGTACATGCAAATTGGCACCACAAAATCTGCAAACTGCAAACTTTGACAAATCATATTTGAGTCACTTTCTAAACTTTTGGCCCTGTGGGTGTAGTCTGCACATCTGAACTGCTCTGCTCTGCATCAAACAAAGCAACTGGGTCATGAGTTGTATTTTTTGTTTGTTTCTTCCCCCACTGTCAGACACAACAAATAGTACAAATCCAGACAGATTTTTTGATAAACATAAAAAGCTGATTCTCATAACCAAATTCCATCCATCCATTATCTTTACCCGCTTTCTCCATTTTGGGTCATGTTGAAGAAAACGGGAATCCTCCTCCTCCATCCTGCCCGGGTTGTTTGCTCAGAAGGAACACCCACTTATGTCAGAATTAACAACATCTTTATTTTTACACACTTCAAAATGCATGAACTAGAGAGAATTATGTATATTACCTTGCATTCTGGGGCCCCCTGCACAATTCTGAACTGTCAGGTCTCTTTCCACCCTTATAGACTATGTTTTCTCCACACCCATTTTCCTCCAATGAATAATCAAAAAATACCCCCCCTGACACTTCCTGTTTTCAATTTCTATCCAATCAAACACCTTACAGACTCTCTGAAGTCCCTCCCATTCTCCATTTAGTCCAATCAATCAGAAACACATTAGCTGTCCTCTCTTTAAACTGAGTACGTGACACATATTAAGTACCAACCTACATAATCTCACAAAGACTGAAAGTCTTGATTATTTCCTTGGTAACTTGGTACATTATCAAGTTTTAGATTGCTCCACTAAGAGCCAGGGTCGTTCTGACCTATTAAGCTGCTCTTTGGCTCATTATGAATTATTTTATAATTCCCCACACACACAAATGCTGTGAACTATATTTTAACTTTATAGTTGATCTTAGTTAACTGACCAAGAACCTTTGAGGTTGATGGTAAATGGACTGCACTTATATATCTTCTTTCTATCTGATGCAGACACTCAAAGCTCTTTACAACAATCTGTGCCTCATGTACCCATTCATACAGCTCTATACTAGATCTATACAAAGATAATAGAACAAATCATTCTAAAGAGACTAATCAGAGCTTTATCACATTCATACACTGATGGGACACACATCAGAGGCATTGAGGGGTTCAGTGTCTTGCCCAGGGACACTTCAGCATGTGACTGCTGGTGGGTTCGAACCCCCAACTCTCACATTGGAGGACGACTGCTCTAACCTCTGAGCCACAGCCGCCCACAATGATGTTTTGTTTCTCATGAAAGGCCTTATTAGAAATAAGGAACTATTTTCCTACTGACAGCAGAAAGTGTCAGGGTTGATTTTAAAGTTAGCAGTCACTAAAAATATATTATTTATCGACTTATGGCCTAGTTTACACATCTGACAGTTATTCTAACCGTCTTTATATGATCTGTTTTCCATAATTCATAATTAAACGTTATATCCACCAACCCATATTATGTTATTTTCCACAATTTATCATCAAAGGTTATTTTATTCTTAACAGTCATGGGGGTCGCTGGTGCCCATGTCCAGCAATCACTGTGCGAGGGGCGGGGTACACCCTGGACAGGTCTCCAGTCCATCACAGGGACACATAGAGACAAACCAGACAAACAAACATTCACTCTCTCACCTAGGGACAATTTAGAGTTACCAATCAGCCTAACATGCATGTTTTTGATCTGTGGGAGGAAACTGGAGCACATGGAGAAAACCCACGCATGCAGGGAGAGAACATGCAAACTCCACACAGAAAGGCCCCTGGACTGGGATTTGAACTGGCAACCTTGCTGAGAGGCAGCAGCTCTACCAGTTGTGCCACTTTGCTGCCCTCATAACCAAATTGAAATATAAATTTCTAAGAATTTAAGAGTCATTGCTTGTCAGTTTATTTGAGTATATAAGGCTTAGTGTTATAGACAGATTCCAGGTGTTTTTGTTTGAAATATTTTATGTTTTTGTCTGTGATGACTTCAATGTAAATAGTTGAACTGCATTCATCTCACCCTGTTTTTTTTTCAGGGAGGTTGGCGGACGTAAGCTCACAGTCAGGACCAGATTAGTTAAGGAGCTTGCAGAGTTCAGTGGAGTGCTGTCTTTGGGGGGCCTCTGTCTCTGGAAGACTGCCTTCTCAGCCATGGCACACCCTGCCATCAACGTTATCTCATCTTCTCAAAGAACACACACGAATGAAGAAGAGACAGAGCTCAGTCCATCCAGAAGAGACAAAAAGATCATCCTCCTTCCCTGCAAAGCCCCTCCGAGCTGTGAGCATGTGCAGCTGTGGCTGGAAGCCAGGAAGCGATATGAAAGTCTGCTGAAAGGGAAGGGCAGGGCTATGATTGATGTAAAAGAGGGGAACCCAGAGGTAGTCGAGCCATTAGGTACTTCCTGCTGCCTTGCAGTGAATGTTGAGTGTTGTGAGAACCTGTCCAGTATCAGAAGTCACAGCAAAAAGAAACCCAACCTTTCCTTAATCCTCTCTCCTCTGATGAAGACAGGCCCACTGTGTAACATGAGTCCACTTTCAGACAAGACTCTTGTAGGTCTTGAGCATGAGGATAAAGAAGATTGTAATTATCCTAAAATGTCCTCCCCAGAATCTCCAGAGCTGCCCTCGTGGCAGCAGTCTCATCAGCCAAGCTCCTCAGAACCAGACAGTCTAAGCAAGGACAAGCCAAGTGAAAGCCCACCTCTATCCCCCATGCTCTCTATCTCACAGGAGAGAGTCGGAAGGAACCACTCTCCCTCTCTCTTCCATGGCAGTGTCATGGACGAGCGTGGGACAAGTCCACACCTGCTGCACAGCACCCCTTATTTAAAGAAGAGGCGAAGAAGTAAGGAAGACCTGGAGCTAGAGTGCTGCTCGCCCATAAGTGAGGGTACGTTTTATTCTGCCTGCTTGGGGTTTGATCTCAACTGTAATGAAAATGATTGTATTGAAAAGAAATAACATTTATAACACAAACTTAAAACAACACCCAACATTTTTCAGTCAGGTCATCTGGACAGTTTCTTTTTTTGTGCTGAAACGTTTCACCTTCCATCCAGAAGGCTTCATCAGTCAAGGAAACACACAACAAAACTGATTCTTCCCCCAACAGCTTACTCCAAAGTGGAACAAACCAGTTCTGCTTGTGATAAGATGGTCTCTTTGATGAAGCCTTCTGGATCGAAGGCGAAACGTTTCAGCACAAAAAAAGAAACTGTCCCGATAACCTGACTGAAAAATGTTGGATTGTATACCTGGATTATTGAGCATGGACTTTGTTGTTGAAATAACACCAATTCCAACTAATTTAGGGTGTTGTGTAAAATATAAATAAAATCTAAATGTAATGAATTGCAGATCTCAAACCCATATTTTACTGACAAAGGAACATACTGAATGTTTAAACTACGACATTGTACATTTTTCAGCAAACAATGAGGAAATGTTGAATTAATTTGATGACAACACGTCTGAGAAAAACCTAGGACACTGGCAACAAAAAGCTGTAAATGTGGTAAGAAAGCTGGAGAAGCATTTTGCAACCAGTTAGGTAAAAAATAAAAAATACCACATTTTCCATACTGAAGAGAAGAGTTACCATCCCGCCTGTTGGCACGCACACAGTCCAAACGCCTGCCTCACTGATGTTGTAGAGCTGCACTAGTGCCTCTGGCTTGGACAGATTACACATCTAGACAGACTCAGTCAATGCAGAAAAGTATGTGCAGTAGTCCCTCGTTTATTGCGGGGGTTTCCGTACCCCGCCCCCCTGCAATAATGTTTATTTTGAAAATATGCCAAGTAAACAATACGTTTGTATAAAAATAAATAAAAACGACCCATTCGGATGATATTTTAAATAAAAGGCACTCTTTACAATAAATAAACTATACTAACAATAATGAAAATCTTAATAAATACAATAAGAGTCAGAACCAGAACAATAAGCAGCAACAGACTGTTTACGATGTAACTAGTCAAGTTTTAAGTTTTTGGACAAAAAGACCAACTTGTCCACATTTTCTGTCAAAAGCTCAGATCTAGTTGCAGTGAATGTCTCCAGCGGTGGAGGAAACCTCTCACTAACAACAGTAGCAGGAATAAAGAGGCAGAGCTTTGATCATGTTGCAGTGTGGCTGCATGTGGCCTCATCATCAGTCACAACCTCTTGGAGCTGCTCCCACAGGTGGACCAGGTCCCTGGAGAACTTCAGAGTTCACTCATCACACACTGGAGGTGATCTCTGGTGGACTTCCCTGAAGAGGAAGAAGACTCAGCTGCTGTCTCTGTCCCAGACTGGAAATAAAACACAAAGACGTAAAAAAAAAAGTTAATAAAATTATAATTTTAAATTTAAAAACGTTAATTAGATAATAATAATAAAATAACAATACCTCTTCTTGAACGGTTATGAGGTGGGTGAATCTCTCGCTCATCATCGTGATGTGGCAGAGCT